TTCCAATCTTTCATGATAGATACTAATCATAAGATGTGCATATGATAAAAAATATAAAACATAGCCAGGTTTCTTCTGAAAACATTTTTAAACTGTTTGAAGACATTGTTTAATGTCTAATTCACTTAAATTTTAATAGATATCAAAATAATATTTTTAGAGAAGAAGATGTATATCATGACTTTTAACCTTATCATCATAGAAAAGTGAATACATAAACGATTCATTATTTTCAAGAATGTCGTGTGTTTTTCCAAAATAACTTAAACCAATTCAGCTTCAATTTTTCTTGAAAATTTATATTCTAACTCTTCATTCATACTAATTCAAAAATAAAAATGATAATAATTACATAATTCCATTGAAAATTCGATATGTATGATTAATTTTGATAAAAAATAATTTTGTGACAACATGTCATTGATACACTAAACATTCCAATAGATCAACACATTTACCTTATTCATACTTGCATTATTCTAGAATTAGAAGAATTTGATCTATTTCAGGAAATTACGTGGAGGCATGAAGGCCATGCACAAACTGGCCACACGGAAAAATGCAACCGTCTGGAAAATGAGGAGAATTTTACTTGATGGGACCCATCAGAATGCTGAATGCTTGATGGGACCCAATATAATCCATTTTACTCGATAGATCCCTCCGAAGGGTCACTGATAGTTATGATCTGTTGTGCTTGGTTTCCACTTCAATGAAAAAAAGAAATTGTTCCCTAAGTTAAGTTAGTCAGATTTACCATGGCTCCCATCTTCATCATGCAAGAGCTCAATTTCTCAGGTCCCAAAATGATATCACAGTTAAAATGAATGGGCGTAGTTACTTACTCCTTCCTTCTAATTTTTCTAAAATTCTTCGCCGAAGTGAGGTAAGTTACCTATTGTGGTCCATGAAGTGTACACGGTGAGAAGTCACTTTTCAACAAAGAGCCGCAATGCTTTTACTAACCCGGATTCGTTACAAGAATAATTACAAGCAATTACAAGAACTCGTAGTAGAACATCATTGACCATGGACTGAACTGCCATACGTATCAGGTGAAATACGTGAGTTTAGAAAAAGATGGGCATGCATGGGTGTGAGAGAAGTGCATGTATAAAGGCTTTCGTTGTGGAATTTTGACATGTCAGGATTTAGAAGAGGTTAGAATCCTATTGTGCAATGGACAAGCATATGTTCAGACCATTATGCAAATATAAAACTCCTTTCGTTTTGTCCGTATTCACTTCGTATTCTTCGTGCTACAACCCGATTACATGCTTGTGCTGGCCGTGATCTTTGCACATTTTTAATCGCTAGCATGCTCAGAACTGTCACGTGTATATTTGTTAGTTTCTTAGCAGGAAAGCTCTTGCAATTCGACTGCTTGTGGACGTTCAGTTACAAATACTCTTAACGTAGAGCACAAATGTCGTTACCACAATTGTTAATAGTCTTACGAGGTCTTGAAAGATCTGAGTCAATTATAGGCTCATGCTCGAACAAAGAAGCCCGTCATTTCCTAGGCGCAGGAAGTCGATCATTGTGGCTCACGTCACATCGTCCATGATCATCACCAGAATCTCAATCGGAAGATGAGTTCAGCTGTGTGTCAGAGAAGAATGCTGGTGTGGTAACAACGGAAGGAGATAGGAAATGCACAATTGCAACAACCAAACCTATCATGAAGGAGAAAAACACAGATAACTATGGTACTCTTCTGAATGACAAAAAATCTGATGGCAAACCTGCATTTTCAGTGAATTTGGAAAGAAAAACTACGACTAATGATGCTGAGTGTAAAAAAAAGGTATCGGAAAAAAAATAGATATATACATTGATAGCAAAGATGTGAAATTTCCTTATTGATAATGAAACCTTAACAATGAATGATTGCCCGGGATAAAAGAGCGGATAACATTTGGAACGGAATATTAATGTTTAAGATAGTCTAGGGTGGAGTAAGAAACCTTGACGATGAATAACTTTAACGTGATCCATCTCAATAACATCTCTTCTTGAATATGAAGATAGAAACACTTCAATACTGAAATACTCGTCATTTCCAAAAATGTGATCGAAAAATATTTCAACTGTTTTTATTGACCTGTGTTCAACATGAATGATTTGTTGATTATTAACACGTATGGTGAGAACTCATGAACATCGCAAAACGCCTTTCTGGAGAGATCCTTGTCCACATGACACTCCACACTACACACAGAGAGTTCTGCAATCACTAAACAACACAAGCGCAATGAGACACTAAACATCTAGCTTACAAAAAGTGTATTATCATATAGATTGTATTATTACAGTCGATATGATAATACACTTTGTAATCTAGATGGATTCATGGTCGTCCTTTAATTAGAACAAGTTTACATTTCAGACTGTCAACCGAATCGCTGGATCAACTCGAACCACTGCAAAGAATCAAGTAAAGATCAACGCTATGATTTCAGCCTCGACAGAATTTCACTCAATGTTATTTTCCAGCGAACGAATACTTTTGCTAATACTCATGTCGATGACAAGGAAAAGGAGAGTTAGGTAATGGATTTTACAACCTACAAATGCAGGTTAAACTGTACAAATCTGGCGAAGTAGATTTGCAAGAGTCTGTGGAAGAGATTCGATATCTCTTAGCAATGATTAATTGAGATCCTTTCCATTTCCATATTACATATGGAAATGGAAAGGAGTTCAAATATTTGGTGAAAGATGGTGCACCGTTTCCAAAAGAGACAGCCTGAAATCAATCACAACAATCTGGTTAGTAGCTTAGACAGGGATCAGTCTGAAGAAGTAGTCCAAGAATAAGCATAAGTAAACAAAACGGTTGAGATGCATGTAGTAAGGGAAGAGACTCCTCACACATAACCAGATCCAATTATACTCACAGAAAAGATGACATAGTTCCAACTTCTGAGCTCTTGCATGTACAGAGAGTGCTTCGTGCAGGTGCAAATCAAGACTAAGCTTGCAAACTGTTCCTAGAAATGGAAGCGCTTGCACTCTCGGTATAAGTACTCAATGCGAACTGCATAATACAAAAGGCAATCATTACTGTGGATATTATCCTCACAATCTTAATTAGCTGCAAACCTCGTACAATGAGAAAGAGGTTTGCAGCCAATTGTGAGCTCTTCGTATATAGTGCGGATTTGGGAGGTGGATGTCGTTGAGTAGTATACCCTGATGAAGATGTTGTTCTCACCAGTAAAACCACGGTCACATTTCATGTTGACGTTAGCAAAATCGAAATTCGGGAAGGTGGAAAATATTGCCTCCTTTTAGCTCCTGAAATTGAAAGCATAGAGATCTGTGGCTCTCGCAAAAATAGTCTTAAACTACAAATTGCAGCAACGTTTTCCTCTCGTTTTAAAAATTGGAAACAGGTACTTGCAAAACGTACCAGAAATGGTTTGACTGTATAAGTGCTTTGTCCTGACTCGTTCCCACGGATCTTCATAAACCGCTGCTGATTTGAACTGTGCGGAAATTACATGACGCCGGCGTCACTGTGTCATGGAGTATATCACATGTTGAACTTTATTCTGTGACACAGTAACTGATCGGCCCTGGAAGTCTTTTCGTGGATCACATCTAGAAATCGAATTGAATCCGTTCATCATTTGCGAGAACCTGCAGACTTTTGCAGGCACAACAGTACAGCATCTCGCACACACGTCCAGAAGCAAGGAATAGGTTGAGCGCTTCTTCCTATCAGGGGTCAATGAGAGTAGCAGTTTCTCATACAGCGCCCACCGTTTCTAGAAAATCGAACTGTTCACTATCATTGCAAAACAATGTAATTGTTTTGTAATTTGTACAAGCTAATTCGATTAATAAAAAATTAAGCATTTCATGACCATAAAATCTCAAGCTAAAAATTTATATATTTAACAAGTGTGAATATTACAAAAAATATGTTAACATTCAAATTAATGTGCATGAATGAGAACTGAAAATTTAAAATCAAATATTTGCATTTAATTTGTATAATGTACTACTATGGAGAATTTCGTTTTGTGTAAGAAAGCTTGTTCTGAAAAAAAATGTAAAATCCGTAAAAATTGTTTAGGTATAAATCATAAGTTTTTACAATCTTCTTTGATAATTATAATTACAAATGTGCTGGAAGCGTAACTCATCGAAATACAAAAATAATACAAGCGATATTTTTCGCAAGAATTAATTCTGAGAAAACTTTGCGGCCACAAACCGAGTATCAAAACTGTTATTTACGACATATACCACGTGTCCCCGTGACATGGAGGTGACATTAACTTCTGAATTACGGTTTCCAACTATCACTCTTTTCGCATCAAAATCATTATATCATACTTCCCAAATATCATGTTAGTATGAAAACCTCTCCTCATTTTAAAACTAAGTTAATTTGCCATGTACTCATAAGAAAGTTATTGAACTGGATCTTACCCACTGCATGACGTGAAAAAATGGTCCCAAAGATTGCTCCAACTGCTTCTCAAAGTACACTGAATCTTGCTTATATTTCTTCCAATGAAAGAGATGAATGGCAGTAGGTTTGTGCTCGTGACTGTGTAGGAAATCTTCCCCTGTGCATCTTTTTCTTTCGAGTGTCAAGGGATAGGAGGTTCAATGGATTAATCGAAATGAATCCTAAGTATTTAATGTGAAGGCCAATCCAACTTGTTATCAAGGTGTCAAAAGAAATTGCACATGGAATAAGAAATCTGTAACCTTCTCTATATCATCCACAACAAGGTCAAAATAAACGTGAAAAACATAACTGTGAGTCTAACATGACGACTCACTTTGATTAGTTATACGAAGAGGGATTTGATGTTAGTAGTAGAGGGAAAAATAGTGTAAAATAAAAACAAGTATGTTTGAGTTATAATTTAATGTTAATAGCTAGGTTGGTACAAGAAATCGAAAATATTTTTTTGATGAAGGGCGAGGGCGCTGGAACCGCAGCTGGTTCATACGAGCCAGGAGCCGGACCAGAGACGGCCTCGGAGGCGCTCTGTTAGAACGCACAGGGTGGAGAATGGAGCCATGGGGGCAGGGCGGAATGGACTGCCGTAGACTGCCACCGCGTCGTCGCTGTCCATGCGCGCGGAGCCGGCTTCTCGCAAGCGGGGCTCGGTGGGAATGGCCGTGCGTGATCGCAGCCCTCAAGAGATTGCAGAGCAGCGAGCCGAAAAATTGTTTCGCCGGCGTGGAAGACAACGCCGTGGTCGCCGATGGATTATCGAGCGAGCTAGCTCTGCGGAATCACCAGTGCCCGGACATGGGGGCTGTCAAACCCTGCGACCTTGAGCAAGATCAGCAAGACGTGCGAGGATATGAGATTACTTCCCTAGTATTCACGACGAGCTGGGGCAACTGTGTTTGACTAGGATTCCGCGTTCGAAGGTATACGACATGGCTCTGGTGTGCAAGAAGTGGAAGGCGTATCTGCTGCACCCGGAGCTGTACAAGGCTCGAAGGCTGCAATCCGTTCGCGAAGATTGGGTGATTATTTTAGGAGTAACGGATGTCGATAAGAAATGGCGGGCGTATCGACCCACCGTGAACGATTGGGTGGTGATACCACCGTGCCCTAGCGATTTCATGTTTCACTCGTGCGACAAGGAGAGCATGGTGGCCGGGCTGAACTTGATGGTCCTAGGGCAAGGCGGAGATGGATACGTAGTGTGGAGATTCGACACCATCAGGAGTGCGTGGTCGACGACTCCGAAAATGCATACTGATCGGTGTCTATTCGGCTCGGCCAGCTTCGGACAATTTGCCTACTTCGCCGGAGGTAGGAGTCGAAGGAGTCTTCTGAAGTCGGTCGAGAGGTACAACTCCGAAACCGACTCATGCTGCCTGACATGAACACGGAGAGGAAGTGCTGCTCGGGATTTGTGATGGACGGCAAGTTCCACGTCATTGGCAGTCAACAACAGTCCATCATACTCAATTCGGGAGAGGTGTATGACCCGGCGATGAAAACCTGGAATCTAATTGAGGACATGTGGCCCAAGAAGTTCGTCCCGAGCACCCAAGTCGCGCCACCTTTGATCGCCGTCCTGAACAATCAGCTGTATGGCATCAACATCATCGAGAACATGTTGATGTCCTACGACAAGGAGAAGAACCAGTGGCAACTCCTGGAGAAGGTTCCTCATCGGGCCGAGAACACCAATGGTTGGGGCCTGGGCTTCAAAGCCGTGGGCGACGAGTTGTTCGTGATCGGCGGTGCGCGAGGGGTCGGCCTGTTTTTACCACAGATTCATGCATACAGTCCGAAGGCGGAAGGCAGTGAGAGATGGAGCATCATCGGAGTCGCGAGAGGTGGTATTATGCGGGATGGCACTCGTGGTGGGTCGTTTTCTCTGAAGTAAGAGCTGGGACCAATGATTCGCGATGGCGGTAGGTGCTTGGGAAGACGCAGTTCGGACCTCGATTGATGAAGAAGAAGGGGTGTCGTGGGAGGTGGTCGTTGCGCAGGAATGGGCGGAAGCATGGTAATTCCGGAGGGTAGTAGAGAGTTAGATGGGTCTATCGAGTCATAATCGAGAACGTATGACTGCATGTGCCTTGCTAATATGTCCTCTGCGTTTTCCAATGTCTGCAGAAAGGAGGTCCATACCTTGCTCTTTATTTGTGGGGATTCATGCTGGTTTTGTCACTCGGGATGATGGCTATTTATCCCGTTCTCATTGCCCGACTGTTTAACAAGTTCACTCCAGTAAGTATTTCAAATCGGGGTTCAAGCGTTTATTGTTGCCTGTCAATGTTTGTCTGGAAGACATATGTTGTCAGCAGCCATTTACCTTGGAACTGCCTGAAGCTGTGAATCATGTTACTCCCACGGTGCAATGCGGTGCGCATCGCTAACATATGGGTCCTGCTGGGCATATCTGCACAGCTGCCCGAAGGAGAGCTGAGGGCAAAAATCGAAAAGCTGGCGTCATTACTAAAGTTTCCCTTGAAGAAGCTGTTTGTCATTGACGGATCCACAAGATCTAGCCATAGCAATGTAAGTTGATACACATTCGTGGATTAGTGCTCAGATCATACATGGATGTTCTTCTGCCTCATGCTTCGTTGATATTTAAGGTCTAAGATGATACGGTTTTGCAGGCATACATGTATGGTTTTTTCAACAGCAAGCGCATTGTGCTTTATGATACACTTATACAACAGGTACTTCTGGTGAATTGTTGCTTCATTGGAATAAGCAATATATGTTCCATCGCTTTATCTGAAGTCATTTGGTTTTCTAGAAGGAATGTTGTTACTATGTTTGTAACGTAAATCCGGACGATCGTGCTTTTGCATCTATCAACGATCTTTGTGCCTATATCATCAAAGTGAAGAGATTCGATGCTGACCAGATGACGAAATTTGCAGTGTAAGGAGGAAGAGGTCGTAGCAGTTCTCGCACATGAACTTGGCCACTGGCAGCTTAGTCATACCATGTATTCCTTTCTAGCCATGCAGGTATTTACCAACAGCTGATCACAGTATTTCATGTTTTTGGAGTGTTTAAATTCAGACCAAGCACTCATGCAGGCCTTGCATATTTGTATACACAAATTGTTCTCCAAGTTTTCTTACTTTATGGTTGCTTAGGACAGACGGCTACTGTCGAAAACCTTGCTCGTTGCTTACCGGATGATTTGAGTTCACATAGGGTGTTATTTACCTGTAGCTCCGGATTGTACGTTATGCATTCATCTTATTAAGAACATGACAACTTGAATCGACCATTGAGCTTGACTGATTAGCTTGAACTTGACAGGTTCTTACGCTGTTGCAATTCGGCGGTTATACATTAGTTCGCAATTCAACTGATCTTTTCCGAAGTTTTGGTTTCTCAACCCAGCCTGTTCTTATTGGCCTCGTGTTATTCCAGGTTCTTTCCCTCTCCTCTTCAGTTATGTACTTAATATTGACCAACAGCTGATCGAGATAAATGGTGACAGCCAGATCAAATGAGTTGTGTCATCAATATCCTTCGTTGACATAGCTCCGTAGTTCTTAATTTTCTTGAGAGTTTGCCATTTTTTTGAATCTTGAAGAAATACATTTGTTTTCACATCTACTGCCCTCTTTGATGTACAGTAGAAGTTTAGTTGAACAATTTGTTTTGTAAGAGGTATAACTTCTTTCTGGTCTTATATCTCGTTTCTGGCCGTCTCGATTTCTTGAAACATGCAGCATACAATCATGCCCTTGCAACATCTTGTTAGCTTTGGCCTCAACCTGGTCAGCAGGGAATTCGAGTTTCAGGTTAACGTTCCCTTCCACCCTTCTCCGTTTCATCCCCATATACATCAATTGCAAACTTTTGCCGCAGTATCGTAGTCGGCTGTACAATCGTGTTGTTGAAGTAGCTCAATACTTTTGTTGCTACTATTTTGCGTCGATATTTACCAAATGGTGCTCACAATTTAGATGACAAACAAACAATGAGTAGATTACAATTCTCGCTTTCTTCGAAATTCTCATGAGTTTTAGTTCGTGTTAAACTCAGTTTTCGCTTTCTGTTTCTTTACAGGCCGATGCATTCGCAAGGAAGCTTGGTTACGCAGATTCTTTGCGAGGCCTCATCAAGTTACAAGTACGGTCAAGAATGCAAAAACTGTTTATGGTTTTATCTTTTCTGAGTATCCTTCGGATTTGCATCTCTAGATGAGAAAGTTAGTATTGATATGTACGTTTTGAATTCAAACTTTTTGTTTGGTTAGATGACGAACTCTAATACTACAGGCAAAGAGTTCTTATAAAGATCCACTAATCCTTAAGGAGCTTTGTACTGAATATTAACATGCTGCACTACTACTGTGACAGGAGGAAAGCCTTTCAGCAATGAACACAAATCCCTGGTACTCAGCATATCACTACTCTCATCCACCGCTTGTCGAACGGCTCCAGGCTCTTGACAAGTACACAAAGAAGGACGAATGATGGAATCACGTCTGGAGAGGAAGCACCAGAGTTGTAGCGTCAGCTATTAGAGCTTCATTTGAAATCGTCCAGCGGACATATGTACACAAGAGAAAATTATTTGGAATTGTGCACGGATGACAGGGATCTGGTGACTTCACCAGAGTATATCATATGAGTAGAACATCACACCTTAGGCTGCTTGGGACTTTGGTAGGTGGCTTTACCTCATTGGTAAGATGGGCCAGCAGTTCTTGTTCAAGGGAGAGCTGTGATCAATGATCTTGTCTTGAACTTGTCAACACGAATCTGCACTTTCGCACTTGTTCCACATTCATGTGCTCCTGTGAAGCTCGATTGTCATTGAGAATGCGTACTTCATGGTTGTATTTTCAACTTCTCAAGGGGATCCCTTCTCAACCCAATCCTTTGAAATTCAATGTGAGTGAGTTGTAGGTCTTAGTTTGCTGCTCAAATTTGTAATAATATCTCATAATTCTTTTCCTGTAAATTAATGATAGACATCTGCTAATTGAATAACTGGAATGTGCGGATATGTGTTTTTCGAGGATTGTCAATCTCTTTAGTCAGACCCTTCGATCTTCAGATCTTTAGATGTTTTCATTTCGCACTGTGTTTTTGAACTTGAGCAGATGCAAAAGTCAACGCACTAGGCCAAAAGGTTTTGGAAATGAAGACGGAATAACGTAAGGTTTGAATTCGATTTCAGAGCATAGGTTTTGGAGTGAGGATCAAGTTTTTGTTGGTCCATTTTTCTGTTGAATTCGCTGTTGGTTGGGGTTTTGCCCCCTCTCTTTCATGCTTGAACTTTTGTTTAATGCTTTCAAAGAGCTCCGGACTTATTACGATATTGATGTTGAAATGCGCATCCAAAGTGTACATTTCCAGTGAAGTCGTGTTGGCAGAGAGACTGTCGAACGAAGTATAAAAGGACAGACTTAGTGGCCCATGCATTCTCAAATCTTCGTAAAAGTAATTGGAGCAAGGACGGAAGTGTTGGAGGTATTGTGTGTGTCTTTCCACACATTGTACCATAATGTCGGGATATTTTTATTATAATGGAAAACTTTATGTGAACTTGCTCCGCGTTTTGAAAGCAAATGTTGACTCTTGGAAGTGTAATCGTTCGTACTAGGCCATCGCAGCAACCTCTGCATTCACAGCAAGTTGCTGTTGAATAGTTTTTCATATGCAGAGTGATTTAGTTACCTTGGTCATGAAATATAATATATTATGTATAAGTACAAGTAGACCAATTGTATATATTGAAAATTATGACTGGTATTCGATGTATGATACTAACTATTGCTTTCTATGATGCAATTTATTGTAATGAAAACATGTCGTTTAAAGTAGGTCAGATAACACATTAAAGAAAGTCATAGTCTAAATATTAAGATAGTCGTAGTCACCGCCTTTTGTGCACCTCTAACAAACATGTAAAGTTGGATGCGTATCTTCATATATTCCTTACGCTTATTCTTACAGTTGAGTAAGAAAGAGATGACAGGATTTCATACTCATATTTTGTTGTTGTTGCTCCAATCGCTGTTCATTCGTAAAGCTTATTGTCTTTCTAGAGCAAGATTTGAACTGTGATAACAAACAAGGTTACGATTGATTGGAAGTTACTGTAGAATGAAATGAACTGGCAGTTTGAAGTTGTGCTATGTGTAATAGCAATTGCCATCAGTTAGTATTCACCATCACTATCAACCCAAGTGTAGAAATGTGTCATCACCTCTTGAGGAGTGTAATTCGCCAAATGCTTCCTTCATTCAACCTCACGTATCATCTCAAACACCACAGCTTAAGTATATTATGTGACCTCCAAATCATCATCAAGTCAAGTGAAAATGTGTTGCAAACCAGGAGGATATAATACGTAGACAAAGAAAAATTTCCCTGAACTGAAAAGAGTAAACTTTACGAGTAGAAACTCTCATGCATGATAGAACCAAGATTCTTGAAATTGAATGCTTTCCCAACATATCGTAAAAAAGCACTCATAGTGTTAAAATGATTCAATTGACTAAAATTCAATGTAGGATTTCATAATAGTGTATTTAAATTTAAGTAGTTAAAGGAGAGTGTAGATTTTTAGTTGAACCCTAAATCTGAAACTCACATAAAACCTACAATGAATGTAAAATATCTGTAAAATGTTGTCTTCTGTTCACATACTTCACATATGTTAGTATTAACTCAAACTCTAGCTAGGTTAACCCTAGTTAGAATTAGGTTTTAGATTTTTTCTTCTTTTGTTAGGGTTTCTACTACCCACTATACAGGGGCACAAGCCATAGCTCTCCTCGAACGTTTGTAGCTTTCAGTAAAACCTTCTTGTTCTTCTTGTACGTCCGTAGTGACGAACCGAGTATATGCGCATATGCTTGTGATTTTGTGTTTTGTGGATTTTGTGTTTTTATTTTCAACAATATATTACCTAATTAAACTAAAATATTAATATAATAATTTTTTCATTTACATCTTTTTCAGACATGCTAAGTATGAATTTATATCCAAGCATAGACAAAAATATACCAAAGTTGATGAGAATCTAAAGGCCAAAAAACCATGAGTGTAATTTTGTCTCTCAATGATGAAGCTGTCCTTTTACATGAAACTCACAGGTCTGGCCATGTCCTTGCCAACTTTCATGCTACAAGTTCAACTTAATTTTGGTGTGATGATGTTATTGAAGATATCAATCAAAGTTTTTTGAGTGTGAAAGGTATAGAAAAGACTTTTGAATTTACAAGCAATAGTAGAGAAGACTATATGAAAAAACACTTAAATTTTTCTAGTAAGAAATGGTGGTTATGTAAATAAAATATTGTTCGATGCCATGTTAAATAAAAATTTTACAAATGTCAAATTCAAACATTTTTTTTTTAATTCAAACGATTTTAAATGTTGAATGCAAATTTTTTTATTGATCACAAACATCTTATGAGAGCTTCAGACTGTGAAAATTGCCAAAATAAAACAAGATTTAGAATCATATGTCTTGATTTTTAAACCTACAAGATGAATCTAAATAATTTTGTTATTTGTTAAACTGAAGAGAAGGGTGTTAATTATTAAAAAAAATTGTCTCATCAATCATCTGAACGTTATAAACAAAAATTGTGATTTCAATCATAATACTACTTTTAAATTTATTTTTTTGATAAAATCAAAAGTTTATGAATGTATTTGATTTAATTTTTTTATAATTATTTTTATCTTAAGTGTTTAATAATCATTATATACTAGTGTGAACATTTGCACAAAATTGGATTTAAAATACCTATGAATGCATAGTTTTGATAATAAATGATCAATTTAGAAATCTTAAGATGAAATTAACATCCTCATTAATATAAGCCATTCATATAAGCCATGGCTTAAAGACAAATTTTTTTTTATAAATTATATGTATGTTTCCTTACAAATTATTCCTCATCTTCAAACATATGTGTTTCAATTAGAAGTCAAATATAATCAAATGTTAATGTAAAGTCTAGATGTGATCTCTCAATATAAAAAATTCAACTAATGTAGTGCTTTTTTACTCATAACTTTAATTAGCATATATGATTAAAGACTAACTTCTACTTCTAGGTTATTTAAGGTAAAACCAACAAGACTAAACTTTTACTTAGTGTTAGTTCATTCAAGGTGATCTTAGTTCCTCATGAATCATGCAAGAAATAATGCACGGATTTCTACAAGATCAATATTTTGCAAATACCAACAGGATACAAAATAATCTCATCAATTATATCAATCAAATATAATATCAACAAAAAGTATATAATAATGATGGTTTCATTTTTTGGTATTATTTCTGCTCAATCTCAAGCAAATTGACAAAGACACAAATAAAAGCACAAATAAATCCAAATTTTTCAAAGCTTAAAAGTTTAAATAAATGAAATTCTGATGATGAATGCGTTCTTATGAAAATAGGAAAAATATAAAACTTGACACATCAATGATTCAATTTCTATTTGAGATCTTTAGATTTGAAATATTATGAAATATTTGAATATATATAAGTAATCAAATGTATATTTCAAATAGATTTATGAAATTAAAAATTAATGCTAGAAAATAATACACAGAAAATACAAGTAAACATGAGAAAAAAAAACACACATTTTATTTTTTTGTGAGCATTTTTGACATAATCATATATGTTTTGTTTTAAATTACCTTATTTGTGTGTCACAAACAAAATTTGTGATATTTCTTATGTAACAATAGCTAACATGCTAGAAATAAATAATATCAACCTTATTAGTATGCATTAAAACATATATTGACTTGTTTCTTCACAAATATTTAAAAAATTGTATATATATATATATATGCACAAACAATGTACAATTTTTACATATACATATATTTCACATGTATATGACCATATACATCTTTTATAAAAAAAAAGTTGCAAACTTTTCATTATGCAAGTTATATACATCGAGTTTAAAAAAATTTAGAAAAAATTAAATAAATTTCTTAGATCTCTACGACTTTAAATTTTCTTTATTGAGTTTGATTTCAAATAGATAACATTAAGAAATTTTTATAACACATGCTAAAAACAAGCACAATATGCATACTAATTATCTTTTATCTATTGACATGATATGCATATATAATATTGTTGAAATCATGAAACATATCTATTAAACTAATTCATTTTTTTATTTTTTATTATATTCATTTAGTATCTTCCATCTATTCAATTACAACAATCAACATTTTTAATCATATGTGATGATTTTTGTATCATAATAATATAAAATTTATGATTAGGTCTTATAAATAAAAATATCCATATTTTATTTTTACAGTTAATTTTAAAATAAATTTATTGAGTTATTAATGTGAGAATTTTTTTTCTATTTTATTTTATTTTAAAGCTTTATAGCTTTACATTCATACATGAATAAATAGTATTTGATTTTTTTTAATATCATCCTTGTTGACATAGAATAATAATAACATTTAACTTAAATTTATTATTTAATTACATATTATTATAAATTTAATTGAGAATTTAAAAATAAAAGTATATAATATAAAACTTTGAAATACCAGTTTATAGTTAAAATTTCTAACTCTTGTCATCAACCTATTGAAGTTTCAACATTCTCTTACCTGATGTTGTTTGCTGCTGAAACAATTCAGTCATTTTTTATCAGAATCTTTAATTATCATCAACCTATTGAAACAAGCTCTGAACATGTTGTTTACATTTTTTTTGTTTACTTTTTCTATTCATATTTGATGGATGCAGTATCCTTGGTAATATCTATTGATTTTATTATATTAATTTTGGATTCATGATCTTTCAATGTCATATAAAAGAAATTGAACTTTCATAGTTTGACAACAATTCTTTTAATTTATATTTTTAACTGTGATTAAATGTAATAAGCAATTATCTTCACCGTTTTTTCCCATGATCAAAGCTAACATGATGAATTTTTTATTACATGAACATTGTTATATATATATAAATCTTGTAGTAGAGTGTTTCAATAAACAAATGTTATTTTTATTGATGAAAATTATGAAACTTCTTCCAAGCAATAACAAGTATATATTTTGTGATGAATTCCACATAAAAACTTGATAGATTCTCTTCAATGATAATTTTCAATTTTGTCACAGACTCACCTTTTATTGACATCTTGTTGACTTTGTCCATTTTCCAATTTTTTCAATTCTTTTCTTCGAAATTTAAAGATAAAGCTAGTATTTTATTAGATAGAGGAGTAAAATCGAATCTAAGTCTTTTTTGAGTGAGCTTGCTCAATGAAAGTTCCTCATCTGAATTCTACTTTAACTTCATTTTCTTCTCTTTCATAAAGTTTTTGTTGTTGCATCTTGTCAATATATGCTTATGTTTCAATATGTTATGCAATAATTCTCATCAAGTTTAAGAATCTTCTTTGATTTGTTATAAAAATTTGTCTTAATTTTTGTAAAATGACTTCTCCGTAGTAGCTCTTCATAGGCCATAATAAAGCATCTGATCTTCAAATTAATCTAATTTAATTCTCTAATCTAATTTCATCTTTGTGATAGACCTATTTTACCATACAAATTATTCTTTTTGACTTTGTTGCCGCTATATACTTAGTTTCCATTGAGGACCAAACCATGAATTTCTGCAAAATAGATTTTCAACTAATGCGTTCACTGTCAAATGTAAACATTCATGTTAAGATTCATTCTTGTCTAGATTGATCCATAGTCAACATAAACATAACCTAAACGTAATTTGACATTGTTTTTTTAATCCATCCAATAATATACTATAATCCTTAGTAATTTTCAAGTAAATTAAAATACATTTTCATATTTTTCAATGCATTTTCTTAGATTTAATATGTACATGTTCACTTTACACATAGCTAGAGAATTATCAAGTCTTGTGCAAAATTATCAAATATATGAGGGTGCTCAGAGCTTTGTCATAGGTAATTGATGATATATTTTCTTTATCAATGCAACAGTGCTGGACAAGATATGCAATATGTTGAGTTAATAAGGTTTATCATATTTTCATAAGCCATTCGCTTTCAAACACAGTATCTCCTGAACATAATAGATTGGTATTTGCCCCCCTCTTGTCTGAAAAGCAAGATTTCTTAAATGTTTAATCTTGTTTAGTGTGCCACACAAAAGTCAACAAATACTTGAACTTAGTGCCGGCTTTAAGTGGTCCACATAGGTCATTGTGAATCACCTCCAGTGGCCAAGGTTTCTTTGAAGCTTGTTTGAATTTCTTTGCTCGGTGTTGTTTTGCGAGTCAACATGCTTCGCAGTGAAGATCTTTGTCCACTGCAAGTTGGAAAAACCAGTCACAAAAGGATTGGAGATCACATGATGAGCAGTCTTATGTTTGATAAGACAACGCCAAGATGTCGTATCACTGATTTCAAGAACCGTTGGATTGCTCAGAGGAAGATCCTTTATAAGAGCCACAAAGGTAGGGTATGTGAGTGAGTCGGGTGGTTTCCTGGGTACTTCAAACAGTTAAAGAATGCATAGAAGTGTCAAAGTGACTTCAAATTGACTTGTGATTTTGGAAGAATGCAGAACAACTTGATCTCTGAATTGCGTTGATTATATAAGAAAGCCTTACCAAGGTTGGATCTATCATATACAAAGCAAAATTGAGGAGTGAAAATCACAAGACGTTGACCTTTGGGGGATGATTTTCAGAGAGATCTCTGCTTAAGTTTAGAGAGGAAGGTTCATGACGTGAGAGGTAGACTTTTAAGCTTATAGTGCATGAAATCAAATTTTGAAGGGTGGTGATTAATAACGGCGAGCTGAGTCTTTAGTGTCTGTGTAGGATGAAGATACTACTAAACAAGGGCACTGTTTGGTAGTATCTTACACTGCTAAATTACTTGAGCTTTCACGTAAATTAAATGTGGCTAGCTTTTCAGTTAACATAAAAAGTCGTAAAGGGCTAGCAAATAACCTCACAATTCTTATGGATTATCCTCAAACTCAGTAATAAAAGAAAGCTAGTCAAGAAAGAAACTAGCCCAAACCATAGCTATTGTTTTGATGTGACGGCGGCGAATGACAATATCGTCTAAGGGGAGCTGGAGCCAGAACTATTCTTTCGTGGATGCCCTTGTCTCACAGCATGGTCTTGAGTCTTATGAACCAATTCATATAGTTGAGACAACATGTGAGTTTCTCTTCGGGGCGTAGTGTAAAGAAGAATTGTAATGGGGTTCGCTCATGGCGGCTGGAAGGTAACAAAACTTGTAAACGTGATTACTAATCGCTTGTCATCAGTCGCAGAGGGGCCAAACCAAAAACACTTGAACCATGTTGTAGAATAGAAACTCGATTTAGTTACTGAAAAAAGCGCCACATATAATCACAGCATCTGTATTGGCTCGTAGATTACAAACCAAGTACACAACAGTACTGGGTCTAGAATGACCGGACTAGATGACGTCTTTCTTTTAAGCATATAACACAACATATAATTAGTAAATCTAATCTAATCGCTGTCATGAATGTGTTTTATTTACTAATCTGTCTCACAACAAGGTTACTCAAAAAAACGTGAAGATGCTGGACTTGCCAAATGTTTGTGGGAAGTGTACTAACCAGGACAACGCTTGGACTGCTGACTCGTTTTTACTTCATGCACTAGTATTCACAGTGACTGATATGCAAAAATAGTTGGCGGTGCGCCACCAGTTTGAAACCGGAACTTGATGATGATAGCCACAATCTCGACTTGTCCATGAACCTCATTTTCCAGACAATTTGCCAGACACGGGGATCCCGAAGGTTTTATGATATCATCCATCACAAACTTCACAAAGTCATAGGCTTGCAAGACTATGTGGCAATGTCCCAAAATGTGTGATGTGAGAGAGCGTAAGAACATGTAAGAAGTGAAGCGCACTGCAACTTGAGATCAATCCCATCTGAATTAGCTTCCTTCCTCATAAAATTCGACACTTTCTAAATCACTGTAACTCCTGAAAACATATGAAAAGAAAAGAAAGCAGACATATTGTTTTGATTATTTTATAAAATTCTTTCATCAACCCAAATTAGAGTAAATTTTAAACAACAGATGAAGCGCTACAAGGGTAGCTAGATGCAGTCACGTGTCTAAGAAGAGATTCAGAGTCTTATTTCTTGATCTTCTTTCTCACAAACAATCTAAATATGCAGCAGCTGCTCTCAAATCACAGACCGAACCTTTGACCCAAGAGGTCTGCGCGGCCCGACTTGTATTTTCAAGAGACTGCCTCTGCAATGCCCAGCGCGTGTTTCAAAGGCCAGGTTCGAAAAGTCCATGCCTGCACATCTTTAACACTGCATGACATCAGAGCATACAGACATTTGAGACACAATTATTTTACACCGCAGTGAAGCTGTGGGAATTGCTCCCTCCACCTAACTTGATTAAGGTTGATGTGGAGTAATTGGAAGACAGATTTCTGGCCTATTCAGAGATGTATAATTTCCTATGGTATTGAATAGATTAGTGATACACTTTTCCGTTCATCGCAATGACCAATTACCATAATAGTTCTTGTCTCTGATCTCGAAATCTACTTACATCTGCGTTAACTATATTTGTGTTCTATAGTGAAGAGTCTCTGTAACTGAACGTCCGTGCGCAGTCCAATAGCAAGAGATTTTGTGTTACCAAACTACCATATTTGTACATGTGACAGTTCTCACAGTGCTAGCGATTTAAAATGTGCTGAGATCACGGCCAGCACAAGCATGTTATCAGATTGTAGCGCGATGAATACGGAGCAAAAAACTCTCATCAACAACTTTACAAATGGTGGGCAATTCTGGATTAGCACACGCGAGCTTCAACATCATAGGAGAGAGATTTGAGCACAAATTCTTTTCACCCACAAGATGCATTCGAACTGGATTCAGGCCACCTAAGGAATCTTGTTAAATCTTCCGGTCATACAAAAAAGCGCCAGGAGTAGATTCACATGAGCTACGAATTATTGAGCTTCACAGATCGGATATTGTGCATGAATTCTAGGAAAAGCATTCTCTTTAGACTCTATTGCTCTCTGGTTTAAACACGGACACTACTTGAAAATGATAACACATCTTAATTTTCAGTTTCGGTCCATCATACATTTGTTGGACCTTCATCGTGGGACAAGAGAATCAGTCAGGGGTTTGTGTGGAAGTTCAACGTGACCACCCTCACATGTCAAGGGGAGGGTTTTCATCACATGAGACTTGCAACAAGACAAAATGATCGCTCTACCCTCAAAAACTCATCTTGATAGTTAAGCGGAACACTGATCTTCTTCAAAAACAATAACTGTGCGATTGACATGATGACAAAGATTATAGAAGATTTCTTCTTGTGAAAACTGCAAGGAACAATTTGCAGAGTTGTATATTGCATATGGGTCTAAACATATTCTTGTCAATTGCATAGTGGCATTCTAACCTCTTCTAAATCCTAACATGTCAAAATTCCACAACGCAGGCCTTTATTCATGCACTCCTCGCACACCCATGCATGCCCACCTTTTTTTAAACTCACGTACTCCACCTGATACAACTTGAAGATTTTGGAATAGCAATTTTCAAGCTCAGGCGCAAGAATTTGCTGAATCCTCAACCATGCTTCTTGCAGCTCCTTGCTTTCCCCACCTGTTAGAACTGCCCTGCGATCTTCACTGCTAATACCATCCAGTTTAACAATATCCGATTCCAAATCTGCCCAGGCCGGAATCGCTTCGCCCAACCCGCAGAACTTAGTCAGTGCAGCCTTTGCACCATAATATATGACTTTGTATGAAATTTCAATAGTTCTCCGAATCCACTCCCACTTCTCCAAATCCAATCGTAACTTCAACCCTTCTTGATCTTTGACAGTGTGAAACCCAGTCATCGACTCACACATCAAGTGAAGTCGAACAATTTTCCCGACATGCAGACCTGCACTCAACCTATAGAAATGTCCCACATCATCCGTAACGTAAGGTCGTTTGGGCGTTTTCCCTTGCGAATAGCCAATGCTCCTGTCCACCTTAGACATGAAGACACTCAACTTTGACTGCAGTTCTTGGTGCACAGAGAGTATGTGTTCCATTTTCCTGTCCACTCTTTGCATGATGCTATGCACTTCTCTCAACCTCTCATCCAAATCATCAACCTTTCTATGCAAACCCTGAACCTCTCCTTTTAGTTGCTCAATCCCAAACAAAATTAGTCGAGTTGAACGATTCTCCACACTTGTGCTGGATCGACTCAAGAACCTGGATGAGAGTGTTTTGAGGTCTTTCATTTGGGGGGCATCGGAGCCGCTAACCATCTTTTCAGCTTCAGGATAACATTGAGCCAAACCATTATCCACGCTAATTATACCTTCCTCCAATGACTCCAATTGTTGAATTCGATTCTGGTGAATCTCATTCACAACTGCTTCCACATCGCTCTCCCACAACAAATCCCTTGCTAGTTCAGATATTCGGCCGGTGTCTTTTCCAATCGGAGGCCAACAGTGCTCATAGTGAAACAACTCTTCCTTCTCCATCAAGTACGACTTTTCCAACGGCATTTCCTCAAGTTTGCCATTGATGCTACGAATGAAGTCCGATTTCAGGGTCTCGATCAGAATGACTTTTCTAAGACGACTCGGAATCAGCCTCTCCACGCAAAAAGTCTGGATCACACCGAGCACTAACGTCACCCCTGGACAGCCTTTTGATGATGCGCAAAATGATATCAACTCTTGGACGATATGCTTCCTCACATATGTAATAGCTGCCTCCTTTGACTTTTGACTCGAGCATAACATCAGAACATCTACGTATTTGTGGGACTTTTCACTCTGAATGTGCTCGATATATATTTGATGCCCGTCAAGGAAAAGTCGCAGATAATGTCGAGAGCAGATAACATTCTCCTCAAAACCACCCATCTCCTCGGATATCAACTTGCGTCTCATGAACATCTACAATCATAGAAATTTGGTAAATCTCTAGTGAGACATTCAAATAATTTGTCACAATTAATGAAAAGAAAACATTTGCTTCATCATACGCTAATTACAATTAGAACTTGGCACATACAATGTTTTCACTGAGTTTATGAATTCATGATTGAACCTCACCTGGAAGCGTGGAAAAAAAGCAGCAGTCAGGGACATTGTTATTTCATCTTGGCATTGAATCCGAATGCCGACAAACTGTGAAGTCTCACTCCTATTATCCCAAAACATTGAGTCCACGTGTGCCCCTTCTTCATGCTTCTGTTCTTCCTTGCTTGCATGCTCCGGAATGAAAGAAGGAATGAAATACTGAGAAGTATCTTTGAGCTTGAAACACAAATCTAAATTGACAAGTATGTTTTCAAGCTCCTCTCTATCCACACCTCTCTGTCCATGTTTTCCCAGAAACTTTTCTATCAACCGAACAAAGACACTCTCACTCACAAATCCGTCCTTGCTTGCGTATGAGCTCATTCTATAAGAAGACTCTGGCTCTTGAGCTTGAAAGTTTTGACCCAGAGCTATTAGCTCACCCAAGAAGGTATTAGTGAGCCAGTTGGGATCGACAATGATGTAATCAAGGTTGGGGATGTAAATGATGGATCCAACATCATTCAAATAGGATATGATAGATTGCATTATCCTTGAATGTTCAACAGAGTGAGCAGAAGAAGATGGAATAAATTTTTTCAAATCGGAAACACAAAAATCATAAAACTTTTTGGATGGCCACAAAGGAAAACTTTTGTTCTTCTTGGTGTTTGTAACCAAGAGAGAGGTGAGTTGTAAACACAATTTGGGAACCTGTGGGGATTTCTCACTCAACAACTTGTGGAAATTTTCAAAAATGTGTCTGTTAAGAGAGCTAACTTGCTTCTTCTTCCTAGCATCCACATGAAAACACTCTTGAATAGGGCAGAGATCCACATAATTTGCGAATCTTTGGGTGAGTTTTTCAACTATTGACTGAGCCCAACTCACAGAGCTATATATGGCTTTGTCCTTGTGTGAAATGACAACAAAAACTTGGGGAAGGTCACGTCCAGTGACCCTAATGCTAGATGTGAAGAAACTCAACCAATCCTCCAACTCAGTTTCAAAACAAGAATCTGGTTTCTTTGAAGATTTTTCCTCACAGAAGGGGCTATACACAAAAAGAAAAACACAAAAATTGTTGGTTTGAGGGAAAAGTACAGTTTGAAGGGTACGAAAAATCCATTGTCCTGCAAGATCCCAAACTGAGATTTGCATTTCGTCATTTTTTGGCAAAAACTCCACTTCAATCCCTTTGGTCCTCCACAATACCTCCCATCTATTGAACAGATTGCTTCTGTGTAGCCAGCTATGATTTATCCTCATCAAAGTTTTACGCAATTGAGTTTTTCCTGGACGTCAAATCACAAAATACAGAATTTGTTATTAATGATATCTTCACAAATGCTTTAAATTAATATTCTTGAAATACAATATGACATAGTATTATTTTAATATGTGAAGATAAATTTGATTGAAAAAAGTAGAAATCACCAAAATAATTGAAGTTATATAATTAATGATTTATAAATTTGATTGTTTTTCTTTCCGTTACTATTTGTATACACACATCATTATAAATATATCAAATAGCATTTGTATTGTCAATCTTAGTTTTAGAAAAGTAAAACCATAGATTGCTAGTTGGCGTCCATTTAGGAAAAAACTGAGAATTTACAGCGCATCTTACCTGCTCGAGGAGAGCCGCATAAGAAGAGTCGGCCAGCTTTTGCATCTCCGAATGTTAAGTTCGCTTCCCGGAACACGGACATGTAGACGGCCCGCTCCTTGTTCTGCTGCAGGGCCTCTTGAATCAACGGCGCCTTTCCGTCCGTTGCCCATGACGTTCGTGAGACGTCGATTTCCTGGAGGGCCAAGTTCACTTGCAATACTCCCATCACGTCCCTGAACGCCTCCTCGTCGAGTTCGGAGAAAGACAAATCCAAGTGAGTGAGGTGGTTCCCTCGCATGCACCGAAGCAGCTCCTCCCATTCTCCCTTCGAAATATCTTCGCTTCGAACAGATAATTCCAGTCTCTTCGGGACTGAGGTTTCTCCAGTTTTCCCATTCATCGGGAGGATACTGAAAGTGATAATTGGTTTATCACTCTGCCGTATAATCAGAGATTTGAGAGATTTGATTTCACCGCGCAGCACCCTACCTAACAGGTTTAATGATAACATCACTTCATCTTCACTCCCTGCATCGAGGTCAAGCTCCAGTGTGGGGTCGTTGACTTCGGAGCTAGCAGAACGAGCAAGAGCTTCTATTGACTTCCAGTCATCATTCCCCAATATAAACCAAGCAAGTAAAGTTGTCGCTATAGCATTGTCACGTATGACTTCGCCGAGCTGGTGCCATTCCTCAGGACTCATGTGCAAGCTGTCCAGCTCCACTTTCTTCAATGATGGGTTGGAAATAAGTATTTCCCTTAAACAGTCTCCGATTCCATCCATAAACTCTAGTTCAAGACGTTCAATGGATCGGTTGCGATCGTCTCCGGCCAATGCTTTCAGCAACAAGGGCACTCCCCACTTCCCCGCGCCTTCTAACTTCAATACCTTCAACGACGAGCTCTGGACCAACGCCTGGGACAGGATTCCAACGGTCTCGTCCTCCATGTCCTTCCAACAGGCTATCCTCAACGTTTCTAATAGAGGAGCACTGTTGATCATCTCAGCCACATGCTTCACCGCACTCTCGTCCTCCCACGCCCTATGTAATTCTAAATACTGGAGTTTAGAATCGGAATGTCCTCGCAGTCCTGAGGCGAGATTCGACCAACATCTGGCACTCAATCCGCAATGCCAGATGCGTAATGTTGTTACGCTAGAGGAATTCAGAATTCTCCCCAGCTCTAAACACCAGCTCTCCACTTCCGCATCTGAACTCCATTTCAAAGCATAAAGGTATATTACTGTTCGAGCGGTGCTTGACCAGAAACCTCTGAAAACGATCTCCCACTCGCTTGCCGTCAACCTCGATATATCGTCATCACAAATGTCTCCCACACTCAGACTCTCAAAGGTGTTGCAGTTGCCGATTGCCTCCAGCACTCGAAGGCGCACTTGGCTTCGCCATCCTGTGATTGTCGAAAGTGATGCACGCCTCGGAAAGAACTCCTGAAATTTTGACCCGGTTAAAATGGGAAGCTGCGTGAAAGGCTCGCCTTGTCCTTCCAGACGCTGGACAAGGTCCTGGATGGCGGAGGGAAGCTCCGGTTCCTCGTGTGCGGAGTCCATTCCACAAGTCGTGTCGCAAGTTCAGGAGCGTGACTGACGATGGACGCACCTGCCCCTTCCTTTCTCTCCTGCTCTCTCCTTCAACGCGTACAGGAGGCCCTCTCTTCAATCCGAAAGCCCGGCTCTCCCGAAGAAAACAGATCTTCCCTTCGTAGTGACACAATTCGTCTGCGTGAGACTGCTGGGCATAAATTCTCTTGCACTGCGCACAAGTAGCAACAAAAATATCACTCCGAGATCTGACGATACGCGGATCATGAGCAATCACCACGAACGCAAGGAGATTGTACAAAGTGGAAGCAGGAGGACAAGCGATGGGAATCGAAATTGACACTGAAGACCAGGATTCTAGTACCAAGCTAAATCGTAGACCGTGTGGCAAAAAAGACTTCACGTCTATCAGGGTTCGATGTGCACTAGTGATCGAAGTGAGTGGACAAGATTATAGCTCTGCAAAAGTACCTGAAATCAAGTTCTCAGCAAAGATGGCGCGATGGGAAAGCAAAATGTCATAGATTTCTCAGATGTGACGAACTCTGGGTTGTGGAAAAACTGAATCTACAGTTGTACTGGGAGACTGCGAATCTAGCTGCATCAATACCAACGGGAAGACAGACACTACGATGGCTAGCATGGGGAAAAAGTATGCATCCTCTTCAATCAGATCTTCTCATTGAATCTTGTGAGCGATCAAGGCAATGACAACATTGGAACACAAAAATCGTGTTCTTTCATACTCTGTGATTGGAACATGGTGTTAGAACGTCAGAGTAGATCTTGACTTTGTTGTGCAAGCGGAGAGGAAACGTGGGTGAATGCGTCAGTGTGATAATATTCTCTATGACGTCACGTTGACAACTTCCATTACAACTTTCTTCTTTATTAATCCATTTATCTGGCATGTTCGATCAGTTCGAGCAAGTGGACCTATTCTGACAGCTGAGTGGCACATGCGTAGTCAGCTGTACTAAGCATGTTACGTTTTTTCTTCCTTTTGACCCAGAACAGTTGTGTAGATAATTGTAAATAACTTGTGGTATCAGAAAAAACTGACAAGCTTTTCGGGATTTACTAACTATGGTATGGAAGAACTGTGTGCAGAGGATAAGAGTACTGGAGGTTATCAACTGCTGGTACGATTGTTCTTCTACCCCAGCTGTGTCAAGTATGTGAATGCATGCACAGTTTGGAATTCCTTTTTTTGGTGAGTTTGCAAAGCCAAAATGAATGACCGTAAATACAGAGATCGCATGATGAATTCGTGCTGCTAAGATGACAGCCTGGTCACTTTAAGCATGGCTTTCACGATCTCAACGTATCCCTCCTGCAATGGATCCAATTTTCTAATTGTGAAACATTGCATATATGAATAAGCTAAATATGATGGTTTTGTGAATGAATGATATGTTGCCAAATATTGCTTTTTTAGATACTTAATCATACATTTCAATATTTGCTTGCATTTAAATTATATTATTATAATGAAAATAAAATTTTTTTATTTAAATATAAGAGAAAAACATAAATTTTCAAATAAATATTAGAGAATTTCTATTTTTTACTAGTTTTATACTTGAAGATTTTGGATTTAAGGATGTTGGTGAGAATGAGAGCATGTTTCAGTGCAAATCCGAATAGTATATTTCTGATTGCATTGCAGATATTTTTATTTTAACAGACAAAATAATCTTCCAATTTCAAATTATTGACTCACAAATTTGAAGTTGCATAGTGTGAAGGTCTTTTTTTTTTAAAACACATCAATAAATATGCTTGCAATTAGTATATCATTTATATATTCAAATTTTGTATGATAGCTTAAATTTCATCATATACATCTTGTTCACTAAATGTTTTGTGCTTAAGTATTTTGATCTATAATTGATTAAAATGTTTAAAAGAAAATTGAAATTTGAACAATTCTTGAAAAGAAATCAACCTATGTTATAAGTTTGATTTCAAATTTGAATTCTATATTTAGTGTAGATAATGAAAAAATTGGATTAGGATAATATCTATGGACATCAAAAATTAGTTCTCAATCAAACTTATATATAAATAATTTATATTTTTTTTTGTAAAAAAATATTTCTGGATGTAAACTACATGGTAATTAATATTTTATTCGAAATTCATTTCCAAAGAAAATTATGATGTTCTAGAACTCAAATGATACAAACATTAAAAGTGAAATTGATATTTTTTGTTTTAATTATTCGTTGTTTCTAAACATTGAGATCAAACTTTTCAGATGATTTAAATTTAATTATAAAGTCATTATTGTTACTGGTGATGATGGTTTATTTGATTTTCAAACAAATAACGTTAGGTTATTTGTGTTTCACGTTATTTATGTGATTAAAAGCACATTCAAATCTATCCTGTTTGATTTTGTCCTCGTTGAGGTTGAAAACATTTAAAAAAATTCTCTATTCTTTTCCATCTTTACTCTTTTCCATCAAGTGTTCCATTAACTACAGAATTTGTGTAACTTTCATTAGAATTCAAAATTAATGAGAGACTAATATTTTCTTCCTGCTTTTGAACCACTTCTTGTGATGATGCATTAAATCTTTTTCATCAAAGATTATTCAATTTTATTCACATTCAATGAAATAAATTCCAAACATTGTTTGATGGTTCATTGCATGTGATTTCATGATTATGATGATTTTATCTGAAAATACATGTGAGTGAATTTTGTACGTTTTTTTCATTCAAAACAAGAAATTAAATTGATTTTTAATGACTTGAAATCGTTTTCTTATCAATTACTAAGTATTGGATGTTATTCATGTCGGTTCATCTTGAAACTCTTTCCGTGTTATGCTGCTATGTGTATCCCTTTGTCAAAATTCAAATCTTTCATCTCACCTATAATTGCATTCAAAATCTCATGCATATCATATGATGTCTCTATGATTTCACTCTCAAGAATATAATCGAAGACAATAATCCAACGTTGAGAAAAAATTATCATGGTAGTTTTTAACGTTTGTGTAGGCTTGTAATGTAAAGACCGCGAACTAGCTGTATCAAGACTCACGGGAAAACAGACCGTTGGGTAACATGGGGAAAAAGCATGCAACGTCTTCAATCAGATCTCGTCATTGAAAAGTGTGAGCAATCAATATTCTAACTCAAAAAGCGTTACTCCCTACTCTGCGATTGGACAATTGTGTTAGAAGGTCAGAGTAGATCTTGACTTTGTTGTGCAAGCGGAAATGTGGAAGAGAGGAAATGTGGGTGAATGCGCCAGTGTCATGATATGCTTGATGACGTCACATTGACAACTTCCATTACAACTTTCTTCTTTATTAATTCATTTATCTGGGATGCTTGATCTATTCGAGCAAGTGGATGTATTTTGACAGCTGAGTGGCACATGCGTAGTCAGCTTGGTGTAATAAGCGTGACCCAGAGCAGTTGTGTAGATAATTGTAAATATCTTGTAGGTTCAGAAAAAACTGATAAGCTTTTTGGGATTTTACTAACTATGATATCAAAGAACTGTGTACAGAGGATACTAACTGCTGGTATGATTGTTCTTCTACCCAGCTGTCAAGTGTGTGAATGCATGCACAGTTTGGAGGTCTTTAGACCACAAACATGAAATCGTTCTCGAATTTTGATCGCACTAAGAACACTTTTGCTTGCTTATCGCTGGGTAGAGAAGAGGACAGAAACAGCATGATCTGGTTATTTGCCATGTCCTGTGGTTAATTTCTTGTACCGCCAAAACATGTTGTGTTTTGTCTGGATATGCTAGTTTTCCCTGTTCCAATCGGGATTCCTGTGAAATTGCCAGCACCAAGTTCATGACTTTTACTTGCAGTGGCTTTCGGTGTCGCGTTCCGCTACATTTTGCAGGCCCGACAAGAGACACGACCCTGTCCTAACACGCGGATGTCCCATTTTCCATTTTCTCAGATGCGTGCATTTGTCCACAGTCAAATCAGTGTGGATGAACAACTGCAGTAAGAAGAGCAATACGTGTTGATGGCTGACTTCGTCCTATGTATTGAGGTGAGCAGTCCGTCAGTGCTATAGTGGAATTTAGAAACCTTTCTGAAATCTTCACCCCATTTTCTTCTTTTGACTTTCCAGTTGTCCCTGGCGGACCCACTTATTTTGTTGAATTCGCAAAGTGATAATGAATGAACGTGCTAACAGAAATCACCAGCTCAATTGATGGCAGGCTGTTCACCAGTTCAAACCTCGCCGCATCACCAATCTCACCACCAGAAACAGGTATGCTGCCGTTTCTGCAGACCTGCACGACGTTGCCAGCAAAGCAGATTTTGAAAAAAATTCAAGCATGAAGAATCAAATAAATTATGAACTAAATCGTGTGCACAACAATGTGCTCAAAATCATGGCATTCGGAGCTGAGGCTGGGCGCCCACAACTGCTTGATTACTCGGTGTACAAGGACTGATCCCTCTCAGTTGACAAAGGCCATAGCGTGACTTGATATCGCGCTTCATGTCCTTGAGCCTTGGATTCAAGAATATAAAACCCAAAAATTTCTATAATATATATTGATACTAGGTATGATTTTTGGGTCCAGGGTTCTCATGTACTAGAATATTTAGAAATCTGAGATTATGAACGTGAGTTTTTCGTGAAGTGTATGCAATAATTGAAGCATATTTTAAGCATTAAAGTACAAACCACAGTTTAAAAAGCTAACAGTCACAGAAAAAAACATTTTAAAAACATATTCCAATGTTAAAATTTCTTAGCAAATTTGGTAATCTTACCAAAATCTTGACAAAATTCGCGAATCTAGCTGCATCAAGACCCAGGGGAAGACAGACCCTTCGATAGGTAGTGTAAAGAAAAAGCATGCATAGTCTTCAATCGGATCTACTCATTGAAAAGTGTGAGCGATAAAGGTAGCTAAAATATTCTAACTCAAAAAGCCTGCTCCTCCTTACTCTGGGATTGGACAATGGTGTTAGAAAGTCAGAGTAGATCTTGACTTTGTTGTGCAAGCCAACAGGATACACTGACTGCATCAGTGTGATGATACACTCCATGTCGTCACCTGACAACGAACATTTCAAAGTTCATCTTCAATGAATCTATTTTAATCTATGCAAGAAAGTGGATGATTCTGACAACTGAGTGGCACATGCGCTGTAGGCCTGGTTGACAATGCCTCTTGTGCTTTCTCTTTTCTTTAAATATCTGTACAGTACAGTAGTCTATATAACTCTACATAACTTGTGGGTTCAGAACAAACAGGTAAGCTAAACATAATCTCGAATAACTTTGAACAGAGTAGAATCGCAATCGAGGTTCTCGATTGCTGATATGATTTTTCTTCTAGCTCAACTGTCAAGCATGTGAGCTCATGCACAGTTCTAGTTATAGAGTCTTTGAGTTCTATACACCTCAAACATGAAAATGAAATCGAATTTCGTCCGTGCTACAAGCACTCTTGCGTGTTTTTTGCGACGTATAGAAGTTGATAGGACCAGCACGATACTTGCTGAGCTCAACGTCAATCATCTGAAGAAGTTACCTTTTTCGAAGTTGCTTGCAAATAAAGAGAAAATGTGCGGTATACATGACTTAAGAAATAAATCTGATGCTAGATGCTAGTTAACACTGATTCGTGACTTCAGATGAAAATATGGTGTAATCGTACATGTCAACTCAAATATTTGATGTATTTACTGAAATGAAACAAGTCATACTGCCACTTTTGCACTCGTGTGCTCATATCATAAATCCAAACATGTCATATGAAAGA